TTATTTTCACATGTTTGTTTAGGTTTTTGATAGTCTTATAGCTGCTGCTGCTGCTGCTGCTGCTGCTGTTGCTGTTGCTACTCCTTCTGCTGCACCTTCTTCTTCTTCATCATCATCTGCTGTTGTCTTGGTAGCAGCAGTTGCTCGTCCATTTCACTTGACTTCACTGCCACGTTTGCGTCGTCAGTTGGGTTGACGTCGACGTCGACGTCGACATCGCCATCAGCGTCTACATTGACGTCGAGTTCTTGTTGCAGCGGAACTTATCATTTTATAAGCATTTGTTTTTGTTTGTCTGTTTTTTTAGTGAGCTGCAGCAGCAGCAACAGCAGCAGCTGTAGAAAAACAAAATATTTTGTTGCAACTTGCTTAGCCTCCTCGCTCCGCGCTCGTCCCTCCACCTTCTTCCACTCGCCCGCCTTGCTTGCCTTCCTGTGGCCACGGGCTACAGTCTGTGTGCATTTTATGTGACAGATACTTTAAAATGTGGCAAAGTGGTTCTTGGCAAGGCGTCCCAGCTCTCAGCTCCTCAAGTGCGTGTGTGTGTGTGTGTATGTGTGTGCGGCACACACTCATCATGCACTGTTCTAGCTTAGTGTATGGCTGGGTCATTTGAAATGAAATTAATGTAAAATTATGTGCCACGTAAACTAATTTTTATGCGACGCCAAATGGCCCGTCCCACGGCCGATGCCCCAGCATCTGCGTCTACAATATACGAGCCCTCGCACATTTTGGCCGCAATCCTTTCAAAGCATTCGCAAGAGCGTTTTATTGCGCGGCTGCTGCCACTTAGAAACACAAAAAAAAAAAAAAAAAAATTAAAGGAAAATCAAAACAAGTTATAAGAATAAGAATGGTAGACGTGGAGATACTCTGTGAAGATTTAATAGTCCCCTTGACTATGAGATTTGAAGTAAAACGAAGAGAGAGAGAAAGAGAGCGAGAGAGAAAGAAAGGGAAAATGGAGAGAGAGGCAGAGAGATGAAATGAATCAAACTGTGAGTTTAATGGTTTCGTCAAACTTGAGAGAGAAGTAAAGAGAAGGAGAGAGACAGAGATAGAAAGATCCAGACTTCTCGAACTTATACTAAAATAGAAAACACATTCACATTTTATGCTTCGGACAAAAATAAACCCTATCGAAATAGTGCTTTGGATTGTTATATATCAAAAGTTTAGAATTTGTTTACCACAAATATAAACAAAATTGTTCATGAAATAAAAACGTGATTTGAGTGTAGAGTAGCTCAGACTACCGTATGCACATTAATATATGCCTATATATAAATAT